AAGGATATATATTTGTATAAACTTTTATTTCGAAAGCAAAAATATATCAAGTGCTGTATTAAAACTAAGGCACTCTTCATATAAATTAATCCTATGTATATAGTTTTAAAGATGTGAAAGAAATATAACAACAAATAAGTTCACAAATGACAATTTCACTATAATTACTAATCATTAATCATGAATAAATCAAAATGATATATCAAGTCTTTCTTATTGGAGAAAGGAATAAATAAGTTTGGTTTATATATTCAAATTTGAAGCAATCAGAAGATTTAAATAAAATTTAACTGCTTTCCATTCCCTCCTTTTTTTTCAAATACACACAACAGATAATAAAAAATTAAGGGGAGATACAGTGAAGTTACAAAAAATCATTAAGAGAACTAAAGTAATTATTAATATTGATAATTAGCATTAAAAAACTAACTACCTTTATTAACTATGAAAATATACTTATACTTGAGCTAACTTCAAAGCCACAACAATCACCATACATCTTTAATGTATTATATAACTTCCCATTAACATCAGGTTCCTAATAAGACTTAACAGGTCGTGAGTAAAAAATCTGAAGCCAAAGAAACCATTAAATATCTTTAAAATGCATTATATGCCTTAACAGCAATCTGTCAGAGAATTCAAATTAGTAGACAAAGTTAAAATTATATATACATATATACACACACATATACATATATAAAGAAATGACTTTGCTGCAATAATTTATACCCTTAAAATATTTTATTAATGTATAATTATATCATATTTTGATTTATAATACCCAAATGCAAAAAAGATGTGCACCATCTACTATCCAAAAATACTTCAAACAAGACTGAATTATGAAGGGTGGAGAGTCTTCACAAATTATAAATTTATGATATAATTATATCCTAATATTATTTGCTGGTCATTTAACTAGAAAATTAACATAAAAATAACAAAAGGAAAGAAAAAAGTGAAAGCAGAGTATGGAGTTTACATATGGAAGATCCACATCTAATTAAACACACAAATAACTCAAAACAGAATTTATGAGAAATATGATGAGCTGTGGAAAACACATGGAAAAAAGTAATGTAAATGGGCTTCCTATGCCAAACAAATAGTTAGAGTATCAAAATAGAAAAAAGTTGGAAAAAATTCCAATATGATCCACTGAAATTCTGCTACCTCCTTTATTATTTTCTTTCAGATTCCTTTCAGGGTATCTAGTTCAAAAGAGAAAGATACAGGTTCTGTTAGCAGCATTGTAACTTCATGACTTTATTCTCAAAGAATAAAAATTAGTAAAACAGTATAAAAATTTAACTATCACTACAAATAAAATCATTAAAAACTCATGAATATAATATAACTTACGACACCTTGTAAACGTGTGTTAAATTTTGACCATAATATAAGCTGAACTCAATTTAACAGTTTATGAGAGCAAGACAATTAGAAAATGAATGTGAAAGAAATGAAAGGAAAAGGATGTTAATGGGCTCAAAATGAAATGGAACATATTGATTTTGATGAAAACAATTAAACATATGTCCAAACTTAATAAATGAATGATATTAAGCATCTATTCTGTGCTAAAATTGTAACACAAAACTAAAAATATAAATTTAAATGCAACTAAAATAGGAAAAAAGCAATTCAAATATATCTGAGGCAAACATTTTTTAAAATAAAATTTTTACGCATTTAATATCTGCCGGTATGTGTACAAAATATATAAATATGATAATACATAGGCATATTTTACACAAAAAAGCAGGGATGCCAAACTTATGATTGAAATATAACAAATGGTTTATAAAAGAGACTTTTATTAATTCACTATTATGAAAAACCTACCACATATCATATGCTACACATAAGCTTGCTGAAGTGCATATATTTTGTCAGGTAAGTAAGCATAAAATGATGCTTTATCAGCATTTATTACATATGAATAATTTGAACAGATAACTATCATTTAGAGACACTCGGCCAAAAATCCATTATGCATTGACTCACAAACTTACAAACTACTTAGCTTAACAAGAGAATAAGGAAATGGATAAACAAAAATCATAAATTAAAAAAATATTAATTTATTTAGTATTTTAAAAAACGGCAGAGCTAATATTTAGTTTATCAAGTTATTTTAACTATCATGTATCCATCATTTAACAGTTTTATAGTATTAGTATACTGTAGAGATACTGAATGCTGGTATAATTTCCATTTCATATAAATATAAAGCTTACCAGTGTAAGGGAGGATAAAAATAATTAATACTGATCATTAATCCTAGATTAAGTTTTCAGGGACCAAATGATTGGCTAATTTTACCCATTCCTTTAAAAAGGTTAACTGTGAAGACATACCTACTCAGATAGATACAACTTAGCCAACTAGCTGATTTGATATATTAATTTATACCATACAACTAGAAGTTATTGGACATCCCTTGATTTTAAGTGGAATCACCTACACAATACAAGATCAGTACATATAACAGATGATTTAAAAATGGCAACAATGCCTCAATTCTTGCAGATGCTTTAATAACACAACGAGCAAACAAAAATAACTGAATCTAACCAAGAGTTCAGTCAAGAGACGTTTTTACACAACTGTACGAGTTCGCTTACAGTAGATAACATTATCATGAAATGAAAATGTCATGGAAGCACATGGTGCAGCTATGACAATGTAAGTCGAAGAAACTGAAATACTGGGCTGAGTAAAATCTCAAACATATCGAACGAAATTATCAGAGGGTCTTAGTAACTATCACAAACAACTTAGGTCTCAGTATGGGTAATGGCTAGACCAATCATATGACTATCTGCTAGAAGATTGTTGCACCTTGTTTAACTGTTTGTGACATAATTCAAACATTTCATTGAGCCTATCAATACCTGATGTCATCTGGAATAGTGTAACTTACACAGTCATTGGATCACTAGAAGTTCCAATCAGAGTCATGGCATTTGATTTTGATTCGGAGGTACGTGTCTAGGGTTGGTAGATGTTTGGAGATCAAGACTTGTGGAAGTCAATGTGCTGACAATGAAATTTAGAACAATAGCCTGGCCTTCTATTTTAACGATCTATTTTTATTAGTCTAGATATGGCTACTTAATTTTAGTCTCTTGATATTTGAAATCTGGCATCTACCAATGTGACCACATTATAATATTTTGCAAAAAAGTCCATTCCTTTTTACTAAACTAATGCAGTTAAAAAACAGGATATCTAGTTTTGTGGTTTGAAGACATGCAGGCAGAAGAATTAACTGCCTGGTCCGTGGTCCAAACCTTAAGCATGATTTTAAAAATAAGCTGGAGCACTACCTGCATACCAAACCACTCACTATTTGGTGAAATAAATGTCACTTGTCAAATACAAATCAAGCTACAGCAGACAAGGAAATAAATTTCCAATAACAGAACTTAGCTGAAAACCTATTCTTAATAATAATAATCATACAACAAGCCTTTTATGGTGACATCTTAATAATAATGCTATATCAGCAAATAAGTATCTAATGAATTTTAGCCACAAAGTATATTTACAAAGTAAATGCATGTGCTCAAATGAAATATCGTTTTACAAAAGTATCTTTTGATATTTATTTGTGTCATCATACATTTTAAGGGGAAAAAATTATTTGAATGAATAAACAACATAAACTAAAATTAGAAAATGAGTTTAATGCATAAACGAAAAGAGTTTGGCATCCCTATTAAAAAATAAGAAAAGCATAACTGCAGCTGGTTGGTAAAACATGAAAAAATATGAAAAGCCAACACTGAATTTTAAAGAAACTTAACACAGTTACATGCAAAATGAAATAATTCAACAAAATGAAAAAAATTATAACACTTTTTGTTTGAAAGATTCAGAAAGAAGAATATCTTCATAATATTCATCTTTTGGCACACGCATAAACTTCCAGTCATTTTTTTCACTATGCACTGTCATCTTATGCTCTTTCAAATAATCTTTCCTTTTATACTTTTTCAAGCAAATGTCACACTGAAAACGTTTGCGATCTCTCATGATATGTATTTCCATGTGTCGTCTTAAATTACCACGGCTTGAAAATATCCGTTTGCAGTATGGGCAAATTGGTTCATCTAACTCTGATAGAATCTTGTCTAAGTCAGTTCTCTTTAAATTAGGTTCTATTTTAAAGCCTAAATTAAGGTAAAAAAAATATTTTATTTAAAATGGTAAACAAATAAATCACAAAAATATACATTATTGTTAGTCAATAATTTGTTATAAATAATAATTTTATTAAAATAACTAGAATTTGTACCAACACTTTATCAGTTCTATTTAATATTAAAAGTAGCATTTAAAAATTATACTAAAGCATATTCATTCCCAGATTTCATACTTTAAGCTTTCAGCAGGTATATGATACTTATAATTTTTTTTAATATTGAAGCAATATGCAAAATGAAATCTTTTTCATTTTCAATTATACTTAAAATTAAAAATGTTTTTATTTCTAAATTAAACTATATATTTATTATCTAAACTAGAGTAAAATTAGTTTACTAAAAACTACAGAATACACTAGATTAAGGTTTCATATGGAAGAGAATGAGATTTTACTAATCTGATACACAGTAAACGTACAAAGCACATGAATGATAAAAAATTATACCTATAACTTTATTTATAATAATTAAATTTACAAAAATGCTATAATTAAATAGTCTATAATGTAATATCTAAATGATAAAAACATCAATTTTACAAACAAATATTCATTTTTACACCTCAGCATTCAGTTGCATGAATTTTTTTGGTTCCACATACATAAAAAATTAAAAGTAATAAAAATAAATAATATAAAACCATCCTTCATAACATTTTTATAAATGAGGTTTCCTCACATGACCATGAGTTAAAAATTTATGTTCTATTACATAGTCTTTACGAGAATATTTCTTGAAACAAATATCACACTGAAATCGTTTTGGTAATAAGTGCAATTCCATATGTCTTTTCAAATCCTGTTTCCGACGAAATTGTTTTGAACAATAAGGACACACACTGTTTGCTAATTCAGAGACAATTTGCTTAATATTTTGTAATGTCTGGACATCATCAGCTTCATTGATGGCAGCAATAAACACTGAAAAAAAATGATTTATCATATAAGGCTGTAATAAAAATGTAGTTTAATTTCTTACTCAGATATTAAGGAACTATACAAAAATATCATGAGACAATTCATAAATATCATAAAATAAAGAAAATCTTGATGCAGGAAAAAAGCCAAAACATTGCATTTTAAATGCATACATAACATCAAGCTACTTTATAATACACCAGATGTAATTGTAATAAAGCTATTTCTTTTAAACCTACAAGAACACAAGTTATTGACATATTTAAGCAAAATGTTTATAAACTAAGAATATAATCATTCAAGGAAAAAATATGCAAAGAATATCATATAAGTATGTGTAATATTTCAATACTTTTTATAAGTCATGTTTTAGTGATGCAATTGCCACTAATCAATTAAGTTACTAAAATATATCACTAAGAATGACCTATTGAATAAAATGGAAGATTTAAGAACAAAATAAATTATAAGCACAGAACCCCCCTTTCACTTTTCACCATTATCATGCATGAAAAAAATTCATCCTGTTTTGGAAGGACAAATAAGAATAAAGAGGTTTCACCTGAAAAAATTAAAAAGAGCATGAGTAAGTATTTAAATGCAAGTGAAAATAATAATAACAACAATAAATTATAATTTCTCATGCACTATTATAAGAAACTCTTAATTTAAGGTAGATAAATTTAATATGTTATACAAAACATTAATTTTGAACTTTTTAAAAGTAATGCATATTTACATAGCTATATTATGAAATTTAAAAATAACATTATGAAAATTTTAAAATAAAATTTTGAAGTGAAAAGAAGATGAGATTTTTCAAAGGCAAGAACAGATTTCATCCATTTGTCACATGTAAGTAAGTATTCTGAAGAAATGCTCAAGTTTAAAAAAAAGAGAGAGAAAGATTCAGATTTGAATTTCCAGGAACAAAAGAAAGCAAAGACAGAAGAGCATTTTCTCTTTAATGAGTTCAGCTTAATAGCAAAGCTTGATACTACAACATAAAAGCACAATGAAAATCAGTAGCAAAAGATACATGAAAACAAGTGTATGTTTCAAAAATAGCTTAATCCCCAAAAATAAATAAAAAAAGATTATGGGAAAAAATTTCATTTTTCACTTTTGGAAATTATTCCAAGACATCTCATTTAAAGCACCAGTCTCTAAATTTTCCAACTGCATATCCCTATATGAATAAAAATGATTTAATACAATAAGAGCAACATTGATTTTTTAAAACCAGATATCTTTAAAAAATTATTAAAAATCTATTAAAATCACCAAATATTTTATTTCTGTTATAAAAAAAAGATAGCAGCTAAATTTTAGTAATCCTATATATTTCAGATTACATAAAATTACTTTTTAAGTATTTTCAAAAATTAAGGATTTGCAATTCCTCCATCTTCCGTAATCCAATTGTGCATTTATTATGCCTACACTTAACAATGTTCATATAAATCTGCATAGTGTCTTTTCATAATTTTTGTATTTTAAACGAACTGTTCTCGTTAACTTCATACAAAGAATTCAGAACAGAAGCAATTTTGTTCCTGTTTAAAAATTATCAAAATGACTTTGTTAATACATTTTCAGTTACTGCGACACATGAAGAAGTCAACAATTTTAGCGATATTAATTATACACATCTAAAAGTACATGGATGCTTATATGCCTCTTTTGGTACACAATTAACTAAACTTTGAGATATTAGATAAAATGCTGCCCTATAGTATTATATTTCTCAGACAAATATATGAATATTTTTTCAAACAAATATGTGAACATGTTTAAGAGATAACTGATTTTTATTTTAATACTTTCCCAAAAGTTTTCAACATATATATTAAACTTTTGTACAGATGCTTTGTCATTAAATGGGTTATTTATTTCTGCTAGTTCATACATAGTAGACTTTTATAAATTTCAGAAATTTCTTAACTCTTCCCATCTCACTAAACTGAAACACTGATATCCTATTCAAGGTGACCATTTTAAGACTTATCTTCACAAGCACTGCTACACTTCTTAAATAATGAGTTTTTTTTTTTTTTTTTTTTGATTACTCAATGATTTACATGCAATGCTTTGTAACAAGACTGACTGTTATCTCTAACCAGATAATAGAAATCTACCTTAAGGATATGAAATATTTTCATCTTCCCTCAATAAGCTGGCCAGATTGGATGTTGATACCTTTTGAATAAAAAATCCTTTTTCACTACTGCTGTCTGCACTATTGCTTGAAACTTGATAGCATAAACTTGTCACTTCAGAGCAATTAAATCCAGTTGTTATGAAACGTCTGGCAGATTAACTGAAAAGAAATATGGAAATTCATATATATGGAAATGGTTAATTCATGACCTTCTTACCTTCTGATTATCCACACCCCCAATATTCTGCAGAATTTCACAATTTTGACGTATTTAGTTTACACGTAGGAATAGGAATAGCCATCCCACCCACATGCATATCATACACATGGATTTACATGCTTTATATTCAGTTATCAATTTGTCGAATATTGCCCACTGTCTATAGTGTGCATGATTATGGCAAAGCCTCGAGGGCTATCTGTCTAAGAGGAGGGATGCCTTCGTGGAGGACTTTCTAAGGGAAACTGGCTCGTATACACGTTACACATGGGGAAAACCACGAAAACGCCCATGCAGCCAGCCCGTTCGCGGGATTCGAACCTCGGACCGAACTACCAGTGTTCAGCGATTTTACCGCTCGGCCGCTGGTGGGCCCCCACTGTCCCACTGTCTATAAAAGTCTAAATATTGGCCACAATCTTTTTCTGCTTTAAATTAGTAGTTTCTTATGAAATTCTTCTGTTTATTATTATGAAGTTAGTTATGAGGAGGATGATACCTACAAATCATAAAATTAAAATTAAATTTTTGCCAATTTTCATAGTGATCAGTAAGTTGGCAACTTTTTGTAGAGGTGCAGACAATCAGAAAATACCATTAATTAATAAATGTAAATTTGATCAGTAGAAAATATATATATATATATATATATGTGTGTGTGTGTGTGGAAATCATCAACGCCCAATGCTGAATTAGAATTGCTAGCAATGACGTCATCCCTGCACAGCGCAGTAAGAATCATTCCAGACAGCGTCAGATAGCGTCCAGACGTGGTCGAGAGTGGAGGGTAGATGTGAGCAGACAGCTCGCATTTCTTTGAGTGTTGAAGAAGACAGACGGTCTTCTTTTGATGTTTCACCTTTAGCTGATTATATTATTTAAAGCTACCCATGACTGTTTGTGTGAAAGGACTGTCTGCGCATCATTATATGAATCCGGTGGACTGTTAACTTAATCCTGCATACTGATAACTTAATCTTTACTTAATTTATCTTTATTACTTTTTACTTCTTATTATTAAAATAAAAGCATGTACAATGCCATGATAGTGCTCTATCTCAGTTTCAAAAGAAGAACCCTACAATACATGGCGACCAACTGTGCGGCCTCGAACTCGAAAGTGTGCGAGTGACATTATGAACTGTGCATTGAACTAACTGAGTGAACTGTTCTCACAAGTTATTCGATTTATTGGATTACTCGTATAAAGTGTGTGGATTACCCTAATTGAAGACGATCATCTGTCGGGTGAGTACAAAACTTTCTTTCCAATATGAAGTTAGTAGAAATTCCAGAATTGGAAGCAGCTTTAAAGAACCGTAAAAGTTCTGAAATCAAAAGTTTGCATAAGCTTATTTTAATAATACTGATGGAGATCGAAATAACCGGAAAAGATTACGTGAATTTTCTGGCTTTATATTTAAACCAGATTCTGAAGAATTTAATAAGAAAATAGATGCAGTGCAGAATAGTTTTACTTTGAATGAGTTAATTAAAATTTGCAATGTACTGTGCATAAATTCAGAAGGTTCAAAAACGGAAGTCGTAACCCGAATTGTCTCTTTCCTATGTGATTTATCTGTATTATTTGAAAATATTTTGCATGAAGAAAATAGTGATATTGAAGATGAAACTATTAATAAAATTTCTGAAGTAATGCTTGATGATAATCAAAGAGACAATCCTGGTTTTAATGAGTCTCAAGTAAATAACAGTATGCAGCTTCCAATTCAAGATCATTTTAAACCTCATCTTAGTTTTTCTTTTCTGATATTGAAAGTATTGTTAATCCTTTTTCTGGTAATGCATATGAAAATGTTGATAAATGGATTGATGAATTTGAAGATGTTATAAACTCTTTGAAATTGAGTGATTTGCATAAATTAGTTTTTGCTAAAAGATCATTAAAAGGTAAAGCGAAACTATTTATTCAGAGTGAACCTAAAGTTAATGACTGGTGTAAGTTAAAAAAGCTTTTGAAATCTGAATATGGTAAAGCTTTTAATTCTGCTGAATTTTTATGAAATGTTATGTAAGCGTAAATTAATTCCTAATGAATCTTTAGATGAGTATTTTTGGAAAATGAAAGAAATGTGTTTGCGAGGTAACATTGAAGATGCTTCATTAATTAAATATGTTATTGATGGTATTCCCAATTCTGTAGTGAGAAAAACTATACTATATGGTTGCGAAACAGTATCTGAATTTAAACAAAGGCTTAAAATTTATGATAGAATGAGATCGGACAATGATAAGTTCAAAATTCCGAAATCGAAAGTAGACACCCAAGTTAAAGATAGAAGTAAGCTTGCATCATCAAACCGAAATCAATCTAATGTTAATAAGGTCAAATGTTTTAATTGCCAGGAATTTGGGCATCGGTCATCGCACTGTGTAAACAAACCGAAGGGTATAAAATGTTTTAAATGTAAAATTTTTGGGCACAAGTCAACGGACTGTCCAGAGCAGACCCTCGAGAAACAAGCTTTATTACAATGAATTTCTGACAAGGATAGAATTATGAAGACTGTAGAAATAAATAATCATTTAGTTAATCGTCTAGTTGACACTGGTTCAGATGTGACGATATGCAGCGTAGAGTTACACAAGCAGATTGGTTCTCCTAATTTAAATTGTAGCGATATCACATTAAACGGAATTGAATCAAAGCAAACGTACCCCATCGGCTTTTTCATTTCTGATATTTCAATTGATAGTTTTTCACTTCGCACGAAAATTTATGTTGTCAAGTCATTATGTAATCAAATTGTATTAGGTTTAGATGTAATGAATCAGTTTAACTTCTCTTTTACCAAGAATGGCCTTCAAATAATTTCTCATCGGAATAAAAGTAATGTAAACTTGATAACTGCTGAGTCATATCGAAATTCTAACGTTCGTTGCGTAATGGGAAATTTAAATATTGCTGTGTCATTGAAGAATGTTTATGATCTTTCTCAGTCGTCTGGCGTCTCCGTTAATGCAAACAAAAACCCTGAAAGCGGAAGTGGATTGACGTTTAATTACCTGTCCACATCTGGTGAATGCTATTTCTATCAACGAGACTGACTTATCGCACATTTCAAATGTACAACATAAAGAAAGACTGTGTAATTTAATTAATTCGTACCAGCCTCAGAAAAATAGACAAGCTGACTTCAAGATGCAAATAAATTTATGCGATGATATTCCTGTCTGTCAAAATAGAAGATACACGTCTTTCGCGGAACAAAAAATTGTTGACGATCAAATTGAGGAATGGCTGAAAGAAAAAATAATAAGCCTAGCAACTCTAACTATGCCGCGCCTATTGTTTTATGCAACAAGCGGGATAATTCTAAAAGATTATGCATTGACTATCAAAAATTAAATAAGATTATTAAAGACAAAATTTCCACTGCCTTTAATTCCGGAAATTCTTGATCGTTTAGAACAGTCAAAAGTCTTCACAGCGCTAGATTTGAAAAATGGCTTTTTCCATGTAGACAGAGATGAAAATTGCATTAAATATACCGCGTTTGTAACGCATAATGGTATTTACGAATTTCTTAAAGCTTCTTTTGGTTTATGTATTAGTTCAAATGTTTTTCAAAGGTATATTTATTCAGTATTTCGTGACTTGCTAAATGAAGGTGTACTAATTATTTATATGGATGATATAGTCATACCAGCTAATGATGAAGCTGAATGTTTAGACAAATTAGAAAGAGTATTCAAAACTGCTTCGGAATATGGACTACAAATAAATTTCAAAAAGTGCCAATTCTTAAAACGGAAAATTGAATTTTTGGGATATGTAATTGAAAACGGAACTATTCGACCATCACCTTCCAAAACTGTTGCTGTTCGAAACTTTCCACAACCGCGTAATTGTAAACAACTTCAAAGCTTTTTAGGACTAACGGGATATTTTCGTAAATTCATTCCTCAGTATGCTAAAATAGCTAAACCTCTTAGTGACTTGCTTAGAAAAGGTATTGGTTTTAAGTTCAATTCCGAACAACAGGAAGCTTTTTGCAGATTAAAAGAAATTCTCTCGCAAGCACCTGTTCTACACAGATTTAGGCAAGGATATCCATTAGAACTTCATACTGATGCTAGTAGTCGAGGCATTGGTGCGGTATTACTCCAATTGTCTGATGATGGTAATTATCACCCAATTCAGTATATGAGTAAGAAGACTTCACCGCAGCAAGAGAAACTCTGTAGTTACGAATTAGAAGCCCTTGCAGTAATAGAAGCTCTGAAGAAGTTTAGAAAGTAGACACCCAAGTTAAAGATAGAAGTAAGCTTGCATCATCAAACCGAAATCAATCTAATGTTAATAAGGTCAAATGTTTTAATTGCCAGGAATTTGGGCATCGGTCATCGCACTGTGTAAACAAACCGAAGGGTATAAAATGTTTTAAATGTAAAATTTTTGGGCACAAGTCAACGGACTGTCCAGAGCAGACCCTCGAGAAACAAGCTTTATTACAATGAATTTCTGACAAGGATAGAATTATGAAGACTGTAGAAATAAATAATCATTTAGTTAATCGTCTAGTTGACACTGGTTCAGATGTGACGATATGCAGCGTAGAGTTACACAAGCAGATTGTTAGGCTCTAAATTCAAAATTGTAACTGATTGTAGTGCTTTTCAGAAAACTTTATATAAGAAAGATTTAACTCCCAAGATTGCAAGATGGGCAATGTTTATTGAAGAATTCAATTACGAAATTGTACATCGTTCAGGAAGCCAAATGAAACACGCTGATGCTCTAAGTAGAAATGCTTTAATTTTGACATCATACACATCCGATGTAACTGAGAAGATTCGGTTAGCACAACAGAATGAAGATGAACATGTGAAATTGATAAAGAATTTAGTTGAGAAGGGAGAAGAAAATGGATTCTTTGTGAGAAATGATATTTTGTACAAATTTGATAATGGTAAA